AACATAACTAAAACATCAATAGCATGTACTTACCCACATATTCCTCACCTTTCTACCCAACTTCTCCAAGGTAACCAACTATCCTTTATTGATTTTTAGAAATACAGTTTTACTGCACATGTAAGCTGTTCAAATCATGCATTGTGTAATAATATTTCTGAATTCTTTCAAAACAGATTCATACAGTATGAAAAACAAAAAAGAAGGAACTTGAGACCTTAAGTGATCACATGGAAGAGGACTGCCCTACTGTTCTGGATCACTATAAGGGAAACAAACTTTATCCCTTAAAGTCACTGGACCATTGGACCTCTTTGTTATAGCAGCTTAGTTTCACTCTAATAAAAAGGGACTTCAAAAAGTTCATGGAAAATTTACATTTTTCCACAAACTTTTTGAAATCCCCTCAAACATTCCACCACCAGGACCTTCCTTACCACCAACAAAAGGCTGTGAGAATTCTCCAGAGGCAAAGTTCCATGTCCACATCTGGTGAAGACTGTCTTTGTAATATGAACTCTCTATTATCCGCATATGGACTTTTACAGAACACGCCCAGAATATTCCCAAGGTAACTATTGCTGTTGTTTCTGACTCGCAGTGATCCTGTGAGTAGGGTTTCTAAGCAGTGGGTGTTGAGTTTGAACCACCAACCTTACGATTCAAACCCACCTTGTGGGTCAGTGCTTATCTTATGGCACCACACCAAAACTCCATAGGTGGGAAAAAGTGAGGGACTGCTTTTCTTAAGGGCATTCTCCTCTTCCCCAATCTTCTTGGTGGTCTTTAGTGAAGGAATGGGCTCTTTTTAATGTGGGTTAAATCTATTTTTAAAAATAAATGAAAATTCATACTGTAACTAGTTCACAAAATGATTAGTCAGCTTTATGCCCTTTTCTGATTTTATTCTGAAGAGTTGTTTTGAGAAATGTTCTCCAAACTGTCCTTCACATCAAGAAAAATGTAGGGCAAGGTTAGGACTAACGGAGACAGGCTGGAATCCAGAGGATAATAAGACTGGATGTCTGTTTTACCAATTTTTAAAAACAGGGTAAAATTATCTCCTCTCAATGATAATACTGAGTCACATACCAGACAGTTTGGCCAAATCAATTTTGTACAATTTAGGTAAAAAATAGAAAAGCAAAAATTTCCATAGGTTTAAAAAAGTCCAGAGCTACTCCTGCATGCATTTGCCTTTTGTTTCTTTGCTTGTACTTGTCAGAGAGAGCAGCCATACACAAGACTGATAACCAAGTTGTCCCGGACACAGACAGGCAGACCCTCAAAATACCTGGTCATAGGTGCATCTTTTCTTCCTTTTCCCTTCCCTTGGGAGCATGAAAGATACATTTAGGTATAAGGAAATAAAACCTTCAAGTTTATTTGTATGAGACATTGTGAACAAGTCTATATCCTACTCAGGTCTACTCTGGAACTAATCAATTCATTAGGATCAAATAGGACCTCCTGCTCCTTACAGAATCCAGCACACGCTGTCTCTAAAACACCCCACTGCAGTGCAGTTAATTTCTCCATATGGCCCGTCTAGTCATAGTCTTCCATTTTGTAATGTATTGTAGACCCTAACCTCTATGCCTCCGGTTGGAGTCCTGGTTTGGCACTGTGGGTTAAGGTGCTAGACAGTAAGGTCTGTTTGAACCATAGGTCGGCAGTTCAAACTCACCAGCCGCTCCTTGGAAACCCTATACAGGGTCACTATAAGTCGGAACTGACTGGACAGCACTTAACAACAAAAATAACATGCCTGTGGTTAGAGTGCCATTATGTTAGGCAAGATTAAGGCACACTATATCTGAGTCCAAAGGGGCTCTGGTAGCGTAGTGGTTACGAATCGAGCTGTGAACCGCAAGGTCAGCAGTTCGAAACTACCAGCGGTTCCGCGGGAGAAAGATAAGGCGTTCTGCTCCCGTAAAGATTTATAGCCTCGGAAACCCTATGCAGGGTTGCTATGAGTCTGAATCGACTCCACGGCACATAACACAAAAACATCTGAGTCCCACCTTATTAGTGTGTGTGACTTAAGTCACTACCCTTACTGTGGCCTGCAAATTAGCTGTCATTTTGGATATCTGTATTAAAATAAGTACTTACTGTTTTAAGCTGTTCCCATATTAGCAAACCACCAGTTTCCTGCTTAATTAAGAAAAGCAGGAGGCTGGAGTGGAAAAGCAGGAGGCTGGAGTAGCAAAACTGGCTGGACCTAGATCTGGCCCACTTAACATGTGCAGTAATGACCGTATCCTCAGCTTTTTTACGTCATGAGGCTGAAAACACATCTCCATGAATGACTCACATGCAGTCAAAACACCATCTCTGTGGCCCTGCTCCCAGACTGAGCATGTGCAAAGGACTGGTTCTTATGCTGAGTATCCTGACAAATACCAATTAGACACCAGTTACTTCCCTAAAAGACACAGACCCATCTTGGTGACATGAGTCCCAGTGTGCTCTTTTGCTTGGCTAACCAAGCTCACCTCTATCTCATTTCTGGCACTCGAATTTGAGCCAAAAGCCTACCACCTGATTTGATTCATCAGCTTCTGCAGCCCTCTGAATCAACAGCCTGATTTGGTGTGAGTGAAGAGAACCCTCCAGACTGATGTCAACTATGGATTTGGGACTTGCCAGCCTCCATAATCATGTGAGTCATCTTCTTGATGGTTTGTGGATTCTGTGAAATGTTGTAATAAACTGCAGAACCCTGGGACATGAGGGGAAATACTGAGGAGTGGTAGTTGATATCATGGATTATGGAGTGGGACAGTTCTGGTGTGGTACTGCAGGATAAGCACTGGACTGTAAAGTCAGTTTGAACTATAAGGTTGGTGGTTCAATCTCACCAGCCACTCCTTGGAAACCCTATACAGGCTCACTGTGAGTGGGAACTGACTGGACAGCAGTTACCAACAATAGCATCTTAGAAAAGTCAGACATTTGGGATCTCTTTAACCTCCACCTCATAGGGACCAGTCCCATACTGACCCTTCTAGAAGAAATTATTCTTGCACCCACCTAGGATGAGCTCTTCCAAATTGTCTTTACCTTTATCATTACCATCTCATGAGCTGAAAGACTGATTATGTGTGGCTCCCAAGCACCATCTTTCAGATTCATCTAAATTCTACTCTGTGCTTCTTAATGTGTGTCCTATGAGGTTAGAATCTTATTCAATTTGATGAGGCTGCCATTTCCTCCTTTAATATTAGTTCATTTTGGTGAGCAATGGGGTGGAAGTTTTTTGTTTTTTTAAAACTGTTTTACAGTGGATTATATAATAGTTTACATGAGAGAACATTAGTTTTACATTCATCCTATCGTAAATCATTTCACTGCCATGATTACAATCCCCTCCATGCATCATCAAACAACCAGAGGATATACCCTACAAGCCTACCCCTCGGTCATCAGCACACAGCCCCTCTCCCTCTGGGTCTAGAGTCTCCAGCTGCTCCATCTCTCCACATCATCATCTTTGCCTCCATCTCTGGCATCGCTGTTTCTCTGGGTAGGGTCCCGCACTCTGCTCTTCTCCCTTGGTGGTCCCAGGGACCTCCGCTCCCGGACTGTAAAGTCAACCACTCCCTTCCTTTTGCTACAAAACATCCACCTTTACATTTCCAACCCTCACAGTCAGTCCTGATAGCAATTATTCACTATTGTACCACAAGAGTCCTATCCCCATCTCCTTTCATCAGCCCCGCCCAGAGAGATTGGATACTACTCAATGGAGATTCTACCTTCCTTCACGTCCTCTGGATCTAGGCTCCCTCTTGAAAGCTTGTAAGCCAGTCACTTTTTGCTTTTGTAACCCCCCAACTTTGGGTAGCCAATGTCCTAGTTGCCCATCCCTGTTTACCCTGTGTATCGAGGGGGTGGGAATGGTCCTTGCTGAGCTACTGCATCTACAGGTGTAGGTCAAGTTCATCAAATTGTATCAGATTATTCCTTTTTTTCCTCTTCTTTCTTCTTCTAGTTGAGTTCTGATCATCCAGCCATTGAAGCCAGGTCAAGTGGGTGTTCTTGTGCATATGCCCTCACTTCTTTTCAGCTGGACGCTTCACTCTCCCTCTACTCTAGTCCTTGGGTGGAAGTTTTTGTAAACATGTTTTTTCTTTCTTGCCAGCACACTAGTCTTTTCATATGCCTCAAAGCCAGAAGAGAGTGGGGATTACAGCCCTAACATGTCTGCTGGCTGCAGCAAAATCTAAATCAGTTTGCAGTGATCTGAAAGAGAAAACTCCCCAACAATCAAGTTTTTACTAAAAATGTTTATACAATGTTTTCTTTTATTGAAAAATGTTTTTCTGATTATTAAAGTAATAAACATGTCCATTTTGGAAAGTTTGGGAAATACAGAAATGCATAAAAAATAAAATAAATACCACCCATAATTCCACACCAACCAGAGTTAATCACTGTAGTTTTATTCTTTAAACACTTAGCCTTAGCTCACTAAAACGTCTACAACCTGTAGTCAAAGATGCAGAATGCCTTCATTCAAAGCATTCCAGTCTGTTCCCATAGAATAAAACATATAAAAAACATACTCAAACACAATGAAATAAGGTTTTTTACAAAGTAGTTTCCTATAAAATTTCCATTTTTCAAATTTCTATCAGTTAGAGACTCTACTATAGACTACCAAACATTTATTATAATAATAACAACAAAGAAGGAAAGCGAGGGGAGGGGACTATCTCCACACTCCCCCCCGGCTCCTCACACTATTAGGGGCAGGGTGCACACTTTTCTTCCGTCCTGAGAGTTTTTCAGTCTTAGGAACTGTAGGAAGGCGGCGAGGGACAGCCTGGGAGGTAATCTCAGGGTTGAAGAAAAAGAAGAAAAATTCAGTGTCATTTCAACCCCACACCTCCATTGAGGGAAGGCATAGTGCATGGAGAGAGCCAGATCAAAGGGGAAAGAAAGAAACAGGAATTATAGAGAGAGGAAAACAAAGCCAGATAAGGAGTGTGTAGCGCTGAAGGAATTGGTCAGTGAAAGCCCTTTTATACCCCTAGTACCTGCCCACCAGTCCCTTACCTCTTTCCGGGGGATCTCACCCAAGCGGGAGTCTGTGTTTCGTCGGGGGACATTATCCCCTTGGCCATCAGCCCTGCCAAACAAATCAATGAGTATGAATATGGGGGAGCTATTTCCCCGACTCTATCCAACTCTGGATGGAAGAAGTATTCCCCAATTCAGTCTCTTATGAAGAAGAGCAAACAACAAAGATCCATGGATGAAATGTGAGGAGATATGAGTATATTCAAACTATCAGTTGTACTAGATGGTTAAAATCCTAGAATTCTAAGTTCTGAGTTACAGGATAAAGAGAGGAAAAAATTAAGATACAAGACATGGAGTTTTTTTTCCTTTTAAAAATAGTAAAGAAAAGAGCACTAGAAAGACAGCGGCACTATTCACAAAAGTCAAAAGGTGGAGACCACTAAAACTGCTCATCAGTGGGTACATAACCCAATGTGCTGTATGTATAGACTCACACAATGGAATATTATTTAGCCATAACAAGGAATAAAGTTCTGCATTTTGATCAAAGATTCTATAGGCTACTCTGGATTAAAATGGGGAAAATGCAAAACAAAATGTTAAATTCTCATAGATTACAGATTTTTTGGAGCCATGAAGGTTGAATGAATGAGTACCCTGAGATAATCTTTAAACCAAAAACATCCTTGAAATCCTCTCAAAACCAAATAATTTAGCTAGATGGGATCAAACTGACAACAGCAACTTAAAAGATTAGGTAGGAACCTTAAGGCCATCCATTAATGTCAGAGGAGGAGGACAACTCAGAGAAGAAGGTGAGAGTGGTAGCCCAACTAGAGGAAGGCTATCAACCTCACTCAGTTATAGACACAGAAATGTGAAGTGCTGTGTGTTTTATTGCACACAGTCTCAGCAACTGCAACAACAACAAAAGGACTGACGTTCTGATACATGCTACAACATGCATAAACCTTGAAAACACTAAGCTAAGTGAAAGAAGTCAAACATAAAAGACTTAATATTATATGATTCCATCTACAGGAAATACCCAGAATAGATAAATCCATAGAGACAGAAAGCAGGTAAGTGGCAACCACTGGCTGGGGGATGAGAGGAGTAAAGAGTAACTGTTTAGTGTGGTTTTATTTTGGAGGGATAAAAATGTTTGCTTTAAAATGCTTAATTTTATGTTATGTGAATTGTACCCCCATCTTTTTTTTAAAAGGAAGATATAAAATGTGGTGAGCAGTGAGAGATGTAGGGAGAGAAGGAGACTTGTTAGGTTTATATCTCACTCCTTACTTTCCTCTCTATTTAAAGACAAATGGATCTACCTCGTGAACAATACAACACACTCCATGCTTCCCTGCCTCATCCATTTCTCGCCCCATAATCCTGATTCCATTCTACTGACCCTTCCTCCTTCTCCCTCCCCGGCTTGTACCCGCTGTGTTCCAGCCTCTTCAGGTAGAGCAGCAGATCCTCAGTAGGCACTGTCCCCCAACCCCGAGCTTGGTATAGTCTTAACAGTTGTGACATCTCCATCAGCTGCCTTGAGGATGGTACCCCATCTCCACCTGAGAGACATAAATAATGGTCATCAGTCTAGGCCTGCTCTCCCCTGATCTCATCCTATTTCACTAGGAATGTGAAAGGGCCTAAGGTTTCAGGTACTGGTTCCATCATAGGCTGCTTACCTCTTTCTGGGGAGCCACTGCTGGGACCACTGCTCTGTGACTGGGTTGAAGGAAGCTCAGGTACTCGGAAGAGACTAGATGCCATGGCTAAGGGAACTTTAGTTTTATGGACCGGGGGTGGAAGGCGTGGCACCTGAGGGGCTTCCTCCCAAGATGGGGCAGTCAGAGGACCTAGCAAAAGGAAAGATTCAACAATGATGTACTGGGGTAAAAGAGCCAAAGAAACCTAACCACTGAACACTTAGTAAGCTTTATCCCCTTTGTCAGCTTCTAAAAATCGATCTAATTCCCATCTTTTCCAGACCCCAACCCCAACATTCTTCAGTTAGAACTCACCAGATTTAGCGGGCAACAGATCAACTGGCGGATTTTCACTGTTCTGGGGTATTGTCTCCAGCAGCTGAAGAGGACAAGATAGTAAGGTTCCCTAGAGGACTGATAAAGAAAGAGACCCAGGTAGCTAAGGAAGGTAGAGGCTGGTGAAATAAGAGAGAAGGTTGGTCGCCTAAGTGCTAAAAGGAAATTCTGGAATAGGAATAAGACTGGGAGAATAAGAAGCTGGAACAAAGTATTAGTTCTTAAAAGGGAATGAAGTCACAGTCTTAGATTCCTAATATAAAGAAGAAACAAGGAAAGGGGAATAAAAAGGTGGCCTGTGTGTTGCAAATCTCACGATTGCCTTACCTGGTGCAAAAAATGCTTGAGGCCAACCAGCTGAGAAGGGGGCAGTAGTCCTTGTTTTAGGAAGCCATCCCCATCAGTCCCAGAATCTTCTTCTGGGAATGGCCGCTCTGCCCTGTAATCAGGATCAAAGGCCCCAACTGCAAAAGAAAAAGACTCAGCTATAAAGTGAGCAAAGTGTACATGTATGTATGTATGACGCACAAGTGCACACACATACTGTAAGGGGGGGAGTTCCTCGACAAATTAACTCACCAGATGTCTAGAAAAAAAGGACCTATTAAAACTAATATGGACTAAATTACAGCAAGTAGCTCTGGTGGTGTAGTGGTTACAAGTTGGGCTGCTAACTTAAAGGTCAGCAGTTCAAAACTACCAGCTGTTCCATGGGAGAAAGATGAGGCTTTTTGCTCCTATAATGATTTATAGCCTTTGAAAGTCTTTACAGGGTGGCTATGAGTCGGAACTGACTCCACGGCATACCACCATCACCACAGTTGGGAGAAGGAAGAGTTGAAGGAGACTAGGAGATGGAACAGATAAATTCTAAGACAGAAGTGTACATAGAAGAATAAAACCATAGTAATCAGTCTCTAGTCATAGCCATAAAGTCCTTAAAAAACAGAAACCAATATTTAGAATTTGTTAGGATAAATATGTTTTCACTAGAACATACTCATTCTTTTTAAAAAATTACTATTGCATAATTAAAAATTTTAAATTGTGATATAACTCATCTCTCATTCTTGATCTAACCTAGACAGTCATATGTGCACCACACAGAACACCCCTCACCCATTCATGCCAAGGTCACCACTCCAATGGATGGTTACCAACCCATTAGATTGCTTCTCTTCAAATTGGATCTAAGACATACAGACACTGATGCATCAATAAGGTTTCAGAGTCTTAGATGGAGTAAGTGTCATGGCTGGCCAAATCTATGTAGAGCAAAGGAGCAAAAAACATGAATGAACAAAGAATGCTGGTCTACCAAAGGAAAGGAACACTATACAGGGAGAGGCACAGTCAAAAGATAATGCAGGTTCAAAGAGAGATAGCACCTGTTACCAAACCTAGTTTTCATTAAGCCCAGCTGCATCACATGAGATCTCATTCCTTTATGTGACTGAGTATCTGTTCCTTGCAATCTCTTTATTGCTGAGACATCTGGGAAACTAGATGCTCAAGTCCCAGACAGAAACTAGGTAAGAGGGAGCCAACTAGTGGATGTACTGTAAACTCCAATGACTTCTGTGCCCAGTTACCTGTAAGATCTGGTTTGGGTTCTAGGGGCTGAAAAGAATGTTGACTTTGGAAACTGGGACCCAGCAGGAGGCTAAGCTCTGAGGAGGGGCTGCAGAGAACAGGTGGTACTCTAGGTAATTCATCCCTGATTTCCCGGCTCTGCTGCAATACAGGCTTCAGGGCCACCGCCACAGGAGGCATCGTCCACATCCTTCTCTCTCCCTTCTCTGGTTCTTGAGGCACAGGGCTGGAAGGGTCAGCGGTAAGGACCTGTGCAAAAGGAAGGGGCAGAAAGACAAAAATCATCAACATCAGATACAGACACCGTGAGAACACTAGACAGTATCTCAAAATTGAAATGCAAAAAAACCTTCAACAAAATACTAGCAAACCAAATTCAGCAGTATATTAAAAACAAGAAAACCAAGTGGGATTTATCCCAGGGATGCAAGGGTTGTAACATAATAAAATCAATGTGATGCATCACATTAACAAAAAAAAGGAAAAAAATAAGAACACACAATCTTCACAATTGATCCAGAAAAGATAGCTGATAAAATCTAATACCCTCTTTGGATAAAAACACTCAACAAACTAGTAATAGGAGGGGACTTCATCAACATGATAAAGGGCACTTACAAAAGACCAGGGGTTAATATCACACTCAAAGGTAAAAGACTGAAAGCTTTCGCCTAAAATCAGGAACAAGACACCAAGATGCATACAACTTTGCACTGGAACTTTGAGCCAGAGCAATTAGGCAACAAAACAAAATAAAAAAGCATCCTAACTGAAAAGAAAGAAGCAAAATTATTTCTATTTGCAGACAACACAACTGTGAATATAGAAAATCCTAAAACACACACATACAAATGTTGTTGTTAAGTGCTGTCGAGTTGGTTCTGACTCATAGTGACCCTGTACAGAATTGTGGCTCCTGACTCTCAACTACTGACCTTGCAGTTCAAACCAACTTTGCATTCCAGTCCTACAGCACTACACCAGGACTCCACATAAACATCAGCGCTAATAACCTAATTCAGCAAAGCTGCATTGTACAATATCAACATATAAAAACTAGTTGTATTTTTATATACCAGCAATGAACAATCTAAAAAGGAAACTAAGAGCATAATTCCATTTAAAATAGCATCTAAAAGAAAAAAACAACTCCAAGACAGTTAACAAGAAACAAAAGAATAAAATACTTAGAAATAAATTTAAGGAAGTACAATAATCTTAGATTGAAAACTATAAAGTAATGCTGAAAGTAATTAAAGGAGTGTTGAATAAATATATACAGACACCCCCATGTTCATGGATTGTTGTTGTCATGTGCCATTGAGTCAGTTCTAATTCATAGAGACCCTGTATATCTAGAGTTCCTGAGGCTGTGAATCTTTACCTATCGGTGCAGAAAGATTCACCTTCCTCCTGTTGGAACTACTGACCTTGCGATTAGCAGTCCAACGTGTAACCTACTATGCCACCAGCACTCCTCTATGTTCATGGGTTTCAAGACTAATATTGTTTAGATGTCAAAACTATCCTAAGAAATCTACAGATTCAACACAATCCCTATCATAATTTGAAGTCTTTTTTTGCAGAAATGAAAAACTTGATCTCAAATTCATATTGCTTTGACGCCAAATAGACAATACAGTATCAAAAAAGAAAAACAAAATCTACAAACTCACACTTAATTGATTTCAAACTGTATAATGTAAGCTACAGTAATCAAAACAGTGAGGCACCTGTAAAGGGTACACATGTAGACTAATAGAAGAGAGTTCTCAAATAAACTCACACAACTAACTGATGACAAGGTTGCCAAGTCTTCTCTCAATTGGGATAGAACAGTCTCTCTTCCACCAGTGGTGCTGGGACAACTGGATTTTCACTTGCAAAGCAATGAAGTTGGATCTCTACTTCATATCATATATACAAATTAATGTAAAATGGACCAACAATCTAAATGTAAACATCAAAACCACAAAATTCTTTTAAAAATATCACAACCAATACCATTCATGAGTATGGATACAAAAACTCTCAAAAAAATCCAAGAGACTAGAATCTAACATCATATCAAAAAATTAATATATCATGAACCAGTGGGATTCGTAACAGGTATGCAAGAATAGTTCAATATTAGAAAAAAATCAACATAACCCACCACATAATTAAAACAAAGGAAAAGAACCACACGATCATATCAATTGATTCAGAAAAGGCTTTTGACAAAATCCAACATAACATTCCTGATACAAACACTTAACAAAATAGGAATAGAAGGGAAAGTCCTCAACATAATTAGGGGCAGATATACAAAACTAATAGCCAACATCATCACTCTCAATGGAGAGAAACTGAGGGCATACCCGTGCAAACAGGAAAAACACAAGAATGTCCTTTATTACCACTTCTATTCAGTATTGTGCTGGAAGTCTTAGTGAGAGTTATAGGCAAGAGAGAGAAATTAAAGACATCCAAATTGGGAGTCCTGGTGTGGCACTGTGGGTCAATGCTCCAGATTGCAAAGCAGTCTGAACTGCAAGGTCTGTGGTTCAAGCTCACCAGCTGCTTCTTGGAAACCCTATACAGGGTCGCTATGGGTCAGAACCGACTTGACGGCACTTAACAACAACAACAACAAGTTGTCAAAGAAGTAAAACTCTATTTGCAGATGATATGATCCTATGTGTAGAAAATCCCAAAGACTCAACAAGAAAATTATTGAAACTCATTGAAAGATTCAGCAAAGTGGCAAAAGATTCAGCAAAGATCAACATACAAAAATTGGTTGGACTCATTTACACTAATAAAGAGAGCTCTGAAAAAGAAATCAGGAAAACAATACCATTTCTAATAGCCACCCAAAACATGAAAAACTTAACTGGTGACACAAAATGCTTAAAGAACACTACAAAACACTACTACAAATGGAAGAAGACAACAAGATGGTGGACTAGACAGAAAAGCTATAGAGATCCTCTACAACAAAGATATGAAAACCCAAATGGAATAGATGTAGATGATAGTCCTGGAACTCTTATCTATACAGACACCGTGAGAACACTAGACAGTATCTCAAAATTGAAATGCAAAAAAACCTTCAACAAAATACTAGCAAACCAAATTCAGCAGTATTATTTAAAAAAAGAAAACCAAGTGGGATTTATCCCAGGGATGCAAGGGTTGTAACATAATAAAATCAATCAATGTAATGCATCACATTAACAAAAAAAAGGAAAAAAATAAGAACACACAATCATCACAATTGATCCAGAAAAGATAGCTGATAAAATCTAATACCCTCTTTGGATAAAAACACTCAACAAACTAGTAACAGAAGGGGAAGGGACAGAGAAGTATATTGGATCTAATCAAAATTTTAAACTTTTGTGCATCAAAGAATATTATCAAGATTATCAAAAAAGTACAAAGACAACTTATAGAACAGGAAAAAATATCTGCAAATCATGTATCCAGTATGGACCTTGTTGTTAGGTGCTATCAAGTCTGCTCCAACTCACAGTGACCCTACGATAGCACAACAGAAGCACTGCTGGTCCTGCACTAGCATCAGGTTTTGTGTCTGAGCCCACTGTTGCAGGTATTATGTCAATTCATCCCATTGAGTGGTCTTCCACCTTTTCAATGACCCTTTGGTGATTTCCAATTTTCCTAGATTCATACTTCATAATTCCAAATTCTGATTATTAATGGATGTTTGCAGCTGTTTCTTCTCAATTTGAGCCATGACCAATCAGTAATGAAGATCCTGAAAGTTCTGTTCCATTCATGTTAAATGGACTCCTGGTGTGGCACTGTAGGATCAGCACAAAGCTGGCGATTCAGCACTGGACTGTGAACCACAAAGTGAGGACCAGCTGCTTCTCAGAAACCCCATATAGGGTCACGATGAGTCAGACCCAACTTGACAACACTTAATAACAATCTTCGTTAAGGTAGACTCTACTTTGAGGGGCAGCTCTTCCTTAGTTGCATTTTTAGTGCATTCCAACCTGAGGGGTTCATCTTCTGGCAATGTATCATACAATGCTTCACTGCTATTCATACAGTTTTCAGGGGTTAATCCTGCAGAACCAGGTCACCTATTCCTTCTTCCTAGTCTGTTCTTAGTCTGGAAGCCCTACTGAAACTTGTCCACTATAGGTGACACTGCTGGTATTTGAAACACCGATGGCATCGCTTCCCACATCATAGCAACGTGCAAGACACCACAATATGACAAACTGACAGACTGTGCAGGGTATGGGTCCAGTATTCAGAATATATAAAGAACTTCTATCATTCAACAATAGCAGAAAAAAACAACCCTCTTAAAAACTGAGCATAGAATTTGAATAGGCATTTCTCCAAAGAAGATATAAATGGCTAACAAATACATTAAAAGATAATCAACATTATTAGTCATTACAAACAAAAGTTGCATCAAATTGACTGCAACTCATAGTGATCCTAAAAGACAGAGTGGAACTGTCATATAGAGTTTTCAAGGCTGTAATCTGTAGAAGCAGTCTGTCACATCTTTCTCTTACGGAGCAGCAAGTAGGTTTAACACACTGACCTGCTAGACAGCAGTTGAATGTTTAACCACTGAGTCAGCAGGGCTCCTTAATAGCAACAATATTACTTTAAATTTATTTGTTGTTATGGGATGCAAATCAAAACCACAATGAATATTAAAAATGGTAACATAGTAAATATTTTGTTATGCATGAGACACCACTTCACACCCACTATAGTAACTGTAAAAAATGAAATAGAACACACAAATATCCTAGGGCAGCAGTGAGCTGAAATGGACTAGTATTGGCCATTTTGAATCTGACAATCACATGGTTTACTATGCCTGGAATGACAAATTGAAGAGGAATGGCATCATATTCATCATCAAAAAGAACATATCAAGGAGTAGCTCAAATGATGGAACAAATCCTTACAGTGAGGATCATTCCTACCCCCTCAGTACTCAGGGTAGACAGGGATGGGCAACTTGGACATTGGCTACCCAAAATGGTGGGGAGGGGGGTGACTACAAAGGCAAGAAGTGACTGGCTTACAAGCTTTCAAGAGAGAGCTTAGATCCAGAGGGTGTGGAGGAAGGTAGACTCTCCACTGAGCAGTATCCAATCTGTCTGGGCAGGACTGATAAAAGGAGATGGGGATAGGGCTCTTGTGGTACAATAGTAAATAAATGCTATCAGGACTGACTGTGAGGGTTGGACATGTAATGGTAGACA